AAATAATGAGGTCATAACTAATGAGAATTTTCCAAGAAATGAACTTCTTTAGGGGAAGGGAACTCTCAGAGTGGTAGGAAAAAAATAGGTCCAAAAATTAAGTCTACTTGAAAATGGTTTCATGTTATTTAAAGATCAAAAACTGATGATTCAGTCATATGTTGTAACGTCCATAATTACTGTTCTTTTCCCTTGATTAGCTGGTAAGATTTATCTCTCCTTTATGTTCCAAATGCTAGCTTTTTTTGTTTGATTATATTTTGTCTTTTGCTTTTCAAGTTCGGTTCTTATTTTCCACTTTTACTCTTATATATTTTTTAATTTAACTACTACTGCAGCTCCAATATCCCAGTGTAAGCGTTTGCTGGTTACTTGGGAGTTATGACAAAATTAGGATCTTTGAATCGTAGAAATATTCACAGTTATAATTCACTATGTGACTTCGTTGGTATAAGAAAATTGTCATTCACTTGAGAACAATCGGAAATTCAAACAAACTAAAAAGTATCATATTTTGTTATCTGCTTCTTATTTGTCTAGTTAATCATCTATCTAACTATTGTTCAGAATAATAGAGCTTATAAGTTTTATGACAGCTACGAACATTGGCGAAATACTAAAAATGAAAATAAATTTGTCGTATGAAAAATTCGAGATTTCACTGTCGAAACTTTTCAAATTTAATAGTTATTTATGATATAAGTGTTAAAAGTACATTTTTAAGGCACGCATGTGAAAGTTTGCAGAATGAGCGAAGCGAATTCTGCAATTCACATAAGTGCCTTGAAAATACTTTTAATACAAATATCATACAATATTTTTTCTACAAACGGCAATAAGAAGCAATAACCAGTAACAAATTGGATTTCTAGATGAATAATAAGTTGGAAGCATCTTTCCTACATAAAATTATTGAATTTGACATTTGTCAAAAAGTCCAAACAACCAGCACCTTGTTTTACAGGTAATGAAATATCTTGTCAGTTTCTTGAAAGTCTGTCGTGATCAGTAATGCTTTTTGCTGATAATGCAACAAAATACAGAAGAAAAAGAGGGTTGCATCGATCCCTTGAAAAATATAGATGAGGCGGCTAATCGGGCTACCTCAGTTGTTCAAATTTCACCATTAATAACAATATAAATAACTAAAAATACAAACTTTTTTTGACGTTGGCTCTCAAAATTTGATGTTTCATTTTTAACACTAGTGCTATAAAGACTTTATGGCACTAGTGCGATAAAGTAACATTTTTAATGCTACGGAGGGGTGTTAAAAATTGCATTTTTAACACGTTTGTAGAAAAAATGAAATTATTTATGCAAATTTGTCGAACATGTTATGAATTTTGTGCTGTTTCATTACTACCATTCGTGATTTCAATTAATGCTTATACGGCTGGAATAAATAACCATTAGATACTTACCTATATTTGAATTTTCATCATATTGAACAATATTTTCTCAGTCAAGTTTCCTTTTACAGAAAAAGTCTTAATACCAACCGAGTATGAGATAAGTATATTAGATTCTTCACCCCATTTTTCTTAATTTATCGTTGACCGTTATTTTTCTGACGCTATACTGAAATAATTAGTTCTAAGGGCCTAAACGAAGTGAACATGGAATATGACAACTCTACGACTTTATTACTTTCATATAGCCACGTCAGAATTTAATAAACTTTTTAGTCCATTTAGGGGTAATATCAGTTAAGGCTCTTGAAATGATGGGCCTGGATTAAACTTCAACACGACAAAGTGAAATAATACTTACAGCTATTGCTGGTAAGTTGCTGCTTTACAGCAATAGATCTTTAAAAATATAGATAATGAGTACAGATTTCAGTAACATTTTCGATTCAGTATTATCAAAATTTCAAACTTTTTTTCTGCAAACTTCCGAAACTAACTACACATTCATAGTGATCAATCCAAAAAAATGTTTTTGCTCCCTGAAAAAGCTTTGAGATATATAAGAAAGTGTTGGATTGAAAAAGTAGATTGAGAGCAACTGATCTAGACATAACTTTCCGCTCATAAGAATGCAATCACTATGAAGATGTGTGCGTATCATTAACTGGATCGTAACAAATAAATCATGTATAGATTCAATATACAACAAAAAATGTAGACAATTTGTTTTAATCTCTTATTTGTTCCCCCACCTTCTCCGGCGTATTTATTATTTGGATTGCAACCCAAGAAACTGCGCTCTTTCTTCTACTAAAAATGGAAATGAGGAAATGTTCCTTGCCTGGCGGGTTTGTTCGTTAAAGGGGCATTCATGGACTTAGATAAAAACCGCTTAGCGAAGGTAAAATACGAAAGTGGCTCTTTTTGACTTTATATAAAGTTCAGCTTCTGTTAATGCCTATAGTAGGATAGAAATGAGGTGACGATCAATATTAATATCTTATTTGAACTATGAATATAAGAAATGTTTGGTCTTTTTCAACTTATAAATTTTCGATCTAGAAAATATCTCGACAATCAAGAGTTGTAGACTACGTTTCAAAAATGAACAATGCAAGAAGCATTCCATAACAACGTTTTTAGGGTATTTCGACCCCGCTGAATACGAATCTGCCTGTTACCAAAGCCAAATTTTGACCAGAAGTCCGATATCCAAGATAGCGACCAAGATAGTGCTCAAAACTCTGTTGCCCTATATCTCCCTTGTCTGTTGGCTTGTCATAATGATTCAAACATCTGTTTAGGGGTTTTCTCAGATGCTAGGTACATCGCAATGCTTGAAATTTACTTATCTTAAGTTTGGAGTGCATGGGCTCCAAGATGGTTGCCGAAGGAAGTGAAGAAAACGACCATTCAAGAGTTCAAACATTGTTTATTGCAAAATTGCAATAAAGATAACAAAAAAATAATTCTAGTGTCGGTAGCTGAAGGCAATAATACAAGAAAGATAATAAATCAACAACTTAACTAGTTAAGACATTGGTTAGAGCGGTGGCACAACTTGGTGCAAGTCAGTCCATTCTTCTTGCACGTGCACATTGTTGTCAGGCAGTGGGACGAACAATTGCAGGTTAGAATATCCGTGCAGGCTCTGGGGACGGGCTCAAGGGTCATGAGGATGAAAATGTGCTCGTCTTGGTGAAGCTTCCACCCATATGACTCAGGATCCATTACCACCGGTAGGGCATGATGAGCATTTTCCCAAACGTTCACCTGAAATGTTTTTTAAATTATAATTACCGAAAAGCAACTTGTTATACTGATCACAGTATGCTTCCCATCCTTTCTTTACCTGGCAATGGCATCTTGAGAGGTGTAGTTGCAGCGCATCGCTTGTTGGAGGTAAGGCTTTTGGCTTTTTTTTACAACACCGAAAAGCTGATGTCTGGTTTCAACGCCGCTACATACATCTTTGGCCACCTGTTTAGAGAAATAGGAACGTTTTACCAATAAATTAACTTTGGACTTGCTGAAACGCCTGAATAAACTTCAAGGGCCTTATAGAGCTGTACGAGGAACTTCTCTGCATTCTCCTTTGATGAGGGAGTTAACGGAGAGTGCCCCAAGTTGTCCAGAAGTTGACAGGCCGTTCCATTGAAGACTTTCCACGCTGCTTCTTTCTTCGTTATCGTTGCAAGATAAGATGTCGAGTGGAACGCCAAGATGTTCTTCTTTTGAGCATTAGGAAGAGTTTTGTAAATCTCATGTACTGGGAGATACTACCTTTCTTTCGCTGTGCCACTCATCATCCACATTTTAGAATTGGTCATTTTGTCGAAGTGATGGATCAACAGCAAACAAATGTTGGTATCCCTGGCCATGACGACGATGTTGTCAGCATTAGTGTGCACAGCATGTAGTACAACGCGTGTCGGCCTCTGCATATGTCGCTGCGAGGGCACTGACGTCGGATTCGGGGTTGGTTGATCGCAAATCGTCTTCATGTATGAGCCCTCCGAAACAAGAACTTCGATGGCCTCAAAGACATGTTGGAGAACTTCCTGAGAGAGAAAGCGGCCTTATTTTCTCCCAGTGCTAGAAGATTTATCCAATCTTTTGGCAGTGGAATGACTGCACTTGTGATGTCCTTTCTGACTGGAGCAGCTCCCCTGGTCCATCTGCAGCGGGTTTCACTTTTAATTGACTTGGGACGATACCGGTCGGAAAGGATGTCGACTCTGGCATACGGTCTTCCAAGGTGAACTACCCTGTCGATGAAGATTGCAGCGAGGTCTCCGAAAGTAGTGGCATTTGCTGGTTTCCCTATGCTGTTTACTAAAGCTTGACCGTCTATTATCAGTTGCGAAGTGTTCCGATCAATTTCAATGGAGTTTGGGCATATTCCACGCCTTCAGTAACGAATTTAATTATCGATGCTTTTTCAGATAATCTGAGGGTGCCATCCATTTACGCCAACGATAAAGGTACTGAAAGAAGCTCGTGCTTCAAAATGGAGGGCAAGTCAATTTGTCTGCCTGCTTCGTAAGCTACAATTAGACGACGTAGAACATCCCTGTCAGCCTCTACAACCTTTTTCAGATCTTTAGTGTTCTTGACTTTGAAGAGGTCTAAGAGAGTCAAAGCAGAGTTTTTCGGTATGGTAGCATAAAAACTTTTGACATGTTTTTCAGAAGACTCCCGAAGTTGATAACCAGATCTGAGTCGCGTTTCTTTGCTTCAAGGAGCGATGTTTGAATTTTTTTGACTGCCCGGTCTTTTGTGGCGATGTTGCAGACACTTAAGTAAGCTAGGAGCCATAAGGTCCATCAAATTGAACGACTGCATAACCTTGAGAAGTGCATCTTCGTCGGAGTTATCTCGCTTTCTTCGACCTAGTTTCTCCACCCAACCGGTTTTCGATAGGCCTTTTCCATACATAGCGAAGGTTTGCTGAGTGATTTCTCCTCTCCAGTGGAACGATAGAGCCCAGAGTTCACCTGCGCCCTTGCTGATGCCGACAACCCATTCCAGTGCCTAGTCTGGATCAACTTGGGAGAATTTCTGCGGGGAACGTAGCACTGCGAAGTCTCAATTCAAGAACTCTCCTTCAACCTCGGACGGCAACTGATTCATGTCACAGATGTACACTGTTAGAGATCTGGAGTAATTTCCGTGGTTATATCGGGCGATGAATGGAAGCATTTCTGTTAGAGCTGCTCGATATGTGTTCCACTTTTCATCTCGGATTCCACTCGTAAACATTAGTAGCGTCAAGATCATGTCCATATAGGACCACCAAAATTCGAAAAAAGGACTTTCTTTGGACTTCTTTTCTACAAACTCAGACAATAATTGCAAGTTATTTTCGCTTTGAAGGAAACATTTCAACTGTAAGGGTTCCTTCGATATGTGCATGAACTCTGTAGAATCGACGCCATGCTCTTCAAGGGAAGACGCGATCTGAGGAGCTAAAATCTGCCATATAGCTTGAAGCGTAATCTTGTGAGCCTTCATCCCATTAGTCCGCTTTCTAGCCACATTTCGATGAGGCCGCTTTCCGATAACCTTGAGGAAGTTCATAGCTACATGAAGTCCGCCCATCCTAAGAATAACTCTGCTTCGCATCTCTTCCGAACACCATTTTAATTCCAACAGCTTGTAATACAAGGCCTGGTCTGTTGTCAGTATCACATGATGCTTTCCAAGTTTGTCAGCAGCCGCAATGCATCTTCGAACGACGGTGTTTAGTGTTGTCATCTCGTGAGCAGGGTTCAGAATCAAGGGCATATATCCCATTGCCGAAACTTCGTAAGTAGAGCTGGATGATTTTTTATTGAATTCCGTTCATCCCAGCTTGATCCTGTCGTTTACACGAGAAATCCCAGAGGCCAAATCTTGTATTCGAGACTCCTGGACACATAGCGATAGGTTTTTCATATCTCCCGGCTCACTAACGCGAAACCAATCGGCTTCTACTGCTTTCGAAAAATATGGCTCCGGTCTCACCTTAGCAATTTTTGGTGGCAACAACTGATTCAGCACGTCGGAAACCTTCAATGTTGATTTGGGGTCAAGCTTCACAGTGCGCAACACTTCATCCGTTCTTTGGCCACCTCGTTGGGAAGCGACCATCTGGGTTGCGTGGAAGGTCCTCTTATCATTAAGGGTATCTGTCAGAATGTCGATCTTGTCCGCCGTTATATGCAAAGCTGGTTCACTGCTGTCGTCAGTAAACACCTTGAAATTTGGTGGGATGACGGCACCGCTAGCCTGGGGTGCGATTTTCGAATTCATTCGAGTACATTTCGTACACGAAATTTGACTGAAGCAATGTAAATTAAATGGTAAGCATTCGAAATCGTATCAAATTTCGTATGCGAGAATATTCGAAAATACGACCCCTGGTCAAGAGACCTCAGTCACATTTGTGAGAGCTTTATCCGCTTGGAGGACCTGCATATAGCTCATACAATGGCTCGCTGAGTGTAGCAGAGTTACAAGTTTACGAGATCGTGTCTGCTCTAGCTAATAAACCCAAATGTTTAATGAATAAATTCTTCTCAAAATCGATTCTTGTTAAGTGCATTATAAATTCCCTTCATATTTTTTTTGCAAAATTGAAGTAAAATGTCATTATACTCGAAGGCAATTAAGGTTATGCAATAATGTTCCATAGTCAAAACACTCGAGTTATTACTATTTATGCAATAAAGTTCCAAAGTTTATTCACTCCATAGTCATTCATCAATTATAAAGTCAAAAGTTTTACTAGTCAAACTCACTCAAGCTTTTAGGCATTGTCAATTCACTTCTTATCATTCAGAATCATTGTTAAAACTCAGAAAAACATCAATAACCACTAAAGTACTTACATTTAAATTGTCACTCGATAAAATACTTAATTAATTACTTCAAAATCTCTAGAGCATACACATAATTGTTTGAACGAATTTAATTGTTCTTTCTTTCAAAATTTTCCGTTACTATTTCCGAGGCAATAAAGGAAACTTTTCGCGAATTTTACTCAGACTGACACATTAGGTACTGTAGACTTTAACTCAAACTGGACTAGACTGCTAACTCATCTGGCCACTGATGATCTCAAATGAAACCGCTGTATTTATATTATTCGATCCCCCAAAATTTCTTTGTCCATAACAATTAAGATGATGCAATCTCCTTGAAATTTTTGTCATGTTAATTTGTTTAAAATCGAATAACTATGTCGCAATTTCCTGATTTATAGGGGTCAATATATTGGTTCAAGCATGTGAGAACAACACAAAGAAAGCCGATAGAACACCTGAGCCATGAATCACGGATTCAATTACCTTGGCCTCGCTTTAAATAAGTTCATTGATTCGATGTTAGATGACATCATGACTAAATAATAGAATTTTTTAACGTATATAAATATTTTAATTTAATTTGGGGTCACGCTAATTTGTTTCATTTTCAATTTATCGATACTGATTTGAAATACCGGAAATTCAGTGTTTGATTATTTGATTATGTTTAATTTTTACAGTAAAGACATTGTAATTTACGGATCTATTTCTCCGGATCAATACATATCTATGAATCCAATTCATCGGTCTGTGAATTCATCTAACTAACATAGATCTAGGTGAATTACGTCATGCAAAGCACAAATTGGAAATATTCGAAGAAACTTTGCAAAATGAAATCAATAAGCCATTTGGTTCCGGATATCACCCAATCTTCAACACCATCCCTATCTATAGCAATAATCTTCATAATCTTGATTGCAATATGTTGCTACTGTTTCAAGTACTGCTGTAGTTGTGAATGGATACCTTATTTCGGCTGATTTTTCCCCGCAAAAACCGTTACACATGGAATCAGAATTTACAGTCATGATTCATCGATATCCATCAGCAACATTTTCTTGAATTCCAATGAACCTGTCAGATTTTTACAGCAAATTCCAAGAGCTCGACAAGAACCAGAAGCACTCGAGTTGAAAGCAGTTGTTGGTGCTACTAAAAAACCAGATGATACTCAGCAATACCAAAACCCTCTGATGCCAAGAGGGAGACGATCAATTTCCAAAGAGAAATAAAATTAATCAATCAAATCAATCTATTGAATAATTTTAACGGGGGAGGAATATGTTATGTTACGCCACTGCTTTGCTGCTACTTTCGCGCCACTGACCTGCAACGAAGCTACCACACCGCTTATCCATTCCGCTTACTCAGCATAGTTATTAAGTTTCCATATTATAGTTTATTTTACAGCATTTTCCTCAGAGATCATTCTTGAATCAACCTCCGAACAAGATTGTCAATCGGCACTTTTTAACTCTAACTTTAATGTCAATCGCGACTTAATTATTATTATTGTTAATTGGGTCTTTGTAACGGTCCAAAATTGCACAACTAATTCTTACCTACTTTCAATTTTCTATTCAAAATTCCCTTAAGTTTGTTAACATTTTCTCTTTATAAAATTTCAACAACAATCTCAACGGTTGTACAATCCTGTAAGTTTCCTAATTTTCAATAGTCAAATTCTATTTTCATTTGTTACTAGTTCCTGTTAATCCATGTTTTAATTCAATTTCAAAATCAAAACAAATCAATATTTTGATTCCAATTTTAAATTCGACCATCTGTTTCCATAACAAAAATAATTCGTTTGTCAAAAATATTTTGTGGGGTTGTGTTCCGAAATCATAATGACCCGTTTTCAAGTGTATGTACAGAACTACTCCGTTCGTACTTACTCTGGTCGGTTATTGAGCGCTGTTGATATCGGAGCAAGTTCTAGTGAACCCCGGGTCGATCATTGGTTCGATAGCCTTTTGAGATTTTTTGCATTATCCTTGCTTTCGGTTTTCGGTTTTTTGACTTTTGATTGTCAATAATTTCTGTCAACCGGCGGTCGATTAGTAATGTTTTTAGTATCGTCGATTCTTTTTTTGAGCCCTCTAATTTTGCAAACGGATCACTTACTCTAAGTTGTATTCTTCAAGTTATGATTGTTTTATGGGATAATTATTTGTTGTTAATATCATTATTCGTTAGCCGTTGTCATTTTTCTCGGTTTGTATTGTTGTGTGCAATTTTTGGTAAGTAAGAATTCTATCGATTAATTTTTGATGTTTGTCGTTATTCTGAATCACAGTGGCGCACCCAAGGGGGGGGTTTTGGGGGTTAAACCCCCCCCCCTCGAAATTTAGCATTGGTACAAAGAATTTTCCGGTTAAAATATTTTTTTTTGCGATTTTGGTTAATAGGTACCTACAAACTTTCCATTTTACATAAATAAATACCTATCCTATTTACGTTACGCGAAATTACTGAAATCTGGAATCGAAATGAAGAACATGGAAATCGGGCAACCCGGTCCGGTATCGTATAGTTCGCCTTACGAGTCTAGCACTACGACGTCTGAAGGGCAAGGGGAAATAACGCCATTCATTTCGAGCTTTATGCTGCCTGTCATAGGCGTGCGCGCAGCGTTTTTAAATAATACTTTTTCCTTATAAATATTAGAGTATTTTCTATTGGAAGTCAAATAGACAATAGTGCAATTTTTTTATCCGCATTCTTTCCATAGTGCTAGACTCGTAAGGCGAACATTACATCACAATTCGCGGTCATATAAAGGTGCACTTCCACCACGCGCGCAAAACGATTGCAAATTTGCGAATGATCAGCAATGTTTGTGAAGAAATTAATTTGATTGGTGGAGACGAAATTTAGAATGTTTGCAACCATATGGGAAACTCTCTTTCTTTTAAATACACATGATTATAAAAACAGTGGCGGTGACAATAGCTTTTTTCGCGCAGCTAGTGTGTTTTTTTTTTAAGATAAAAGTCAAATTGACATTATGTTGGCAATACAATGTAAAATTGTCAATGCTTTCAAATTTTTTATGTAGAAAAGGCTTGTGTTGCCAACATATTTACTAAATTTTTTACTTGGGGAATTATCTTAAAAAAAAAAAACAGACTTTATTTTGTCGCGAGCGTTCGTTTTAATTGTTTTTTTTTATGGAAACGCACCTTCACGATTTGTTGCAAGTTGCAATCGGCTTCCGTATCCGTACGTGTAACGTAAAAAAACTCGAAACCTAACCTAAATCTAAAAAAATGAGAATTATCTTAATTATTGGCCTTTTAATTTTTTTTTTTTTTATATAAATTAATATTTCTTTAAAAAAAGTTACTTCAATATTTCGGGTGGCCTTCATCATTATGAAAACCCTCCCCCAAAATAAAAAACCTGGGTGCGCCACTGCTGAATCATCTCTGAGTCTGAATTCCTCCCTTCAGGTTAGCCTATTAATCGAATGTGTAGCACATTTCTTTTCACATCTGGACGTTGAAGAAATAAGGTCTCTTTGAAGATTGTCTTCGCCCTTGTGGGATTTTGACCTTATATTCTCAATTGAAGTTATAACATATTTAGTTGCCTTTTTGCCTTACGTTTTCGTAGTGTTATAATTTTCGCCGATTAATTCGGATTTTTACAACTCCATGTGGTAAGTTGATTACACGTTTTTTGTTTTTTCACAGTAGATTCTGACTTTTTCAATTTAATTTAGTTAAAAGCTGCCCTAAAGAGTAGAGTATTCTCACTCACTCCAGGATATTCAATCCAGACCTCGATCCAGATTTCCAGAGATTTTCGAGGCAAACAAGCCCCATTTCCAACAGGTAAAAACATAAACTTATTACTTAAATTTTTGCAAACTCGAGGCACATTTTTCTTAATTAATATCAAAGCTTTATTATGATTTATATATATATATAT